TTTATAGCATATATGTAATATATAAATATATAAATATTATATTTAAAAAACATAATATTTAAGGGAGATAAAATTACCACAGAAAAATATAAATTTTTCTTTATATTTTTTCTTTAAAATAAAAATTATAAATATTTATACTTATATGAAATTACATAAAAAAAAAATATTCTATTGAAATATACAATGTGTGAGAGTAACATGATTTAATTACTATTAATATAAAAGATATCTACGAGATTCTTACATGAAGTCTGTTAAAAGAAAATAAGAAAAAGATTAATTATTAAAGATGCAATAATGGTAATTTAACATATGATTCATATCATTCATTATCATATTCATATACTGCAAGTAAACGTGCAGTATCATATGCATTATTTTCAAGTAAAATCTTATTCATATTAATATTCAAAATGACTAAATAATCTATTTTCTTGAAGCAGTATTTTAGAAAATAATTTGCTTTAATGAAATGAATTAAAATCTCGTGTATTAATATTCGTTTTTTCGCAGATTATGCTTTTCCATTGAAGTTAATCAAAAAGATGTATCATTTTTATATATTCTATCATTAGATTCCATATCTATTATTATTATTATCTTTATGAATTAAATTATTTATTTGTCATTTTTGAATTGAATTAATTCATTTTATAAAAAAATAATATAATATTTTTAATATTTGTGAAATTATAATAAATATAATATTTGTGATATTATATAAAAACAAATTTTTAAATAATCATTATTTAATAATTGCTTTAAAAAATCAAAAATATTATATGATATATTTGCTTTATCGATAAATATTCAATTTGAAAAAATATATATATATTAAATATATACCTGATGAGAATTAAAAAATGCTATATTGTTGATAATATAATCATCAAATGGTTGATAGATAGAATTCCAATTGTAGTGAATATTCCAAGTGGGTACATAAGATTCTTCTAATAAGCCTGCGTTATTAGAAAGTACTAAAGGTGTTATGATAGGTTTGTAAATTTCAGCTTCTGATGGTTGTATTATGGGTACAAGTTGTTTAAAATTCGTATAAGTTTGTGATTTTGAAAAATCTCGATGACTGTTAAAATTTGAATTCTCACGATTATTATATTGTGAATATGGAATACGAATAATATAAGTTGTGTCAATTGTTTTTGCACGATTATAATGAAATCTACCCTCTGGTGCAATATATCGTCCATCTGGAGTTAGGTATACCTTTAAAAATAAAAAAATCATATTAATCAATTTTTATTTATATTGTAAATTGTATAATAATAAAGTTTAAATAATAAAGTTTATTATACAAGATATTAATATATTCATAGGATATCCTAGTTTTTGAAAAGTTGATTCTGAAAATTCAAATAAATATAAAAATTGGTATAAAATATCGATTAAAATTTATTTATTATATTAGAAATAATTGAAATTTGCATTAGATTTAATGAAATTATTTTTATAAATTTATTATTAATAATAAGCTTTTAACAATTTATCTTTATTTAGCATCATAAACAAGTCCTAAAAATTGATTTTCATAAATACTGCTACTAAAGTACTAAAATTGGATGACACATCTAAATTTAAATTCCAATTTAGATTATATAATTTCAAATAATAAATATATCTCATATTTTTAATGAATTATATTATTTATTTCATTTTTAACAAAAATGAAAATATATTTATTATTACTTGTTATAAAATAAAAATAAATCATTTTATTTTATAAACAAAATTAAATGTCTTAATTAATTTTTTATTTCTTAAAAATTTTTTATTTCATCTACATAAAAAATTTAAAATTTTCATATAGAATAATAGTTTGAATAATAGTTTTATTAGTTTTATCATAAAAATCATATTTCACATTAATGTATTTCTTTTGTATATCAATATCCAAGTCAAATTCAAGATTTTTTTCAATGTATAATAGATTGTTTTACTGACAACAGTTTTTTTATGAGATTAATGAGATTTATGAGATTAACTAAATGGTTTTTTTTTATATTTAATGACATATATTATATTTGTAATACAATATTCAATAACATAAATAACATGATAACATAAATATAAATATATATATATATANTATATTTTTTCGAGAATAAAAATACTTTTCTTGAATAAAAATATAAAGCTAGATATATATTTTCTATCTGCTTTATCATTCATTCAATCAGAATAGCATTAATTGACCAATTTATATTCATTTGTTTGCATTTCAATGCAACTTTTCGAATTGAATTTGTATTTCGAAAATATTCTAAAAACTCTTTTTAATAAAAAACTTTTATATGTTTTAATAGATTCCTATATCAAACCAAGTTGTTTAATTAATATATAAAATTATATAGCTTTTTGAAATGGAAAATTATTATTATTAAAACTTATCAATATTTTTTATGTTTCTTATCTTTATTATACTTGATTTATTGCAATTAATTTTTTATTTGCATAAATATATAAAATCTAATGTTGAATGGTGCTGATTTTGTATTCTAAATTTTCTCAAAGTTTGTTTTATTTTGAATAGAATTTCTTATCTTTTTTATAATTTATTTTAATATTTAGGAAAAATTTCAATCCTTCAAGATCTTTAATAATTAACAATAATTTTTTAAAATATAATGAATAAATTAAAATTTACTGAATTAATTATAATAATCTGGTTATCAATAAAAATTATTAATATTTTTTATAATTTTATAATTTTTCATATTTTTGTTATTTAAAAACAATTTTATTATATTTATAGTCAGTTTTATTATATTTATATTTAAAATTTGAGTTAACTTTTCATTCCATTTCTTGTTTAGTTTAATCTGTATAAAGTTTGGTATAAGTGCATAATTTGTTAAGACGTTTCTGATTAATAAATAATTGACAATGAAGTTGTATACATTTTTTTATCCATTTCACCATTTAAAAAATCTATCTTTATATGAATCATCTTGCTGTGCTCTGAATATTTTTTTGCCAAGTTTTTACTTCATATTCATCATTGTTATATATATATATATATATATATATATAAAATCATCAAAGTTAGATAATTTTTTTTTTTTTTTTAATTAGTATTTTGATTCAAAATTCAATGAATTTCTGAAGCTTTTTGTACTTTTAAATTCTTCTTAAATATTTATTTTTACATTTGATACATATTCTATACTATTTTTATGTATATTTCATTTTTGTCCATATTTTTTATTTTCTTCTGTTTTTTCTTATTCTATTTTATTCTAATTTATTTTTTCTTTCTTTTATTTTTTCTGCTCATTACATAAATATATTTTGAATAATTTCGCTTTTATTGTTTTTAAATTCTTTAATGAAATATTATCCTTTTTTTCAAAAAAACAATGTCTTTACTAAAATATAATTTTTTTATTAAAAATAATTTTATGATTAGTTGGATGCATTAATTTACATCCTTTTTTATTTTCATTTGTAATAATTAATATCATAATATAATCATAATAATATCATAATCATAATAAACATCAAACTTTTTTTACTTCTTGTTTTATTTTAATTGTTTCTTTTCTGCACCATGATTATGCAACTGAATATTTTTTAATGAATAGTCTTAAATCTGATTTTATTCTAGATTACTCTTCTGCTAAAGTCCAATTTTTTAATACTAATATAGGAAATTAGAATATAAACTATTGTAACAACAGCTTTCAATATTTTTTAAGCATATTTTTGATAATCTCATTAGTCAAATATTTTTGATTTTCTTATCATAATTTTTTTTTTCATCAAATAATTTTGTTGTGACATGTATGGAAGACATAAAAACTAATTAAATCTGATTTGTTTAGAAAATTTCTATAAATTTAAAAAATTTTAAAAATAAAAAATTCTATATAATCTTGACTATTATTATATCTAATATTTTTTATTTTTCTTTGTTTTGTTAATTTTCTATTTTTATTTTTTATTTTTATATCTCTTAAATTTATAATTTTACAAATTTTAGTTTTTAATTTTTTTTGCAAAAAAATTTTTTTTCAATAAACATATATCTATAATATATCTATCATTAAAATTATAATACTTGGCTGAAAATATCTGATTGCTTTAATTAAATAAATGTTATTCTTATAATAGTTGTTTTAATTTTTTTTCTTTTAAACATATCTCATATGATTTGACAAAATAATCAGAAATTATTTAACTTTAACATATTTTTTCTTATCTATTATAAGATAGATGTCTTATTTATTATAAGATAAGATTTTATATCAATTTTTTATGTGAAATATCATTTATCAAATCATTTCCTCTAAACTAATTTTATTTTGAAATTATATATTTATATATATTTTTTAAGTGTACATTCAATCTATATATTTTATCAATTTTTTATACAAATCATAATTATGTGAAATATTGTAATTACATTATTAAAACTTAAATTAAATCATTTTGCTTAATGAAATATTTGTTTTTAATTTTAATACATATTAATAAAATCTTATAATGCAGTAGTTATATTTAATTTTAAATACACATTACTTTAGCTATATATCTATAATTTTCTAATATTATCATTTATCATTTATATCAAAGATTTGCATTTTTATTCATTGACATATATATCCTATATATTATGATATATTGTCACTGAACTTCTTTTAATAATTAATTAATCATAATTATTTTTATATGAATAGCAAATATATTATTTTGATCACTACTTTTCTTTAATGCATGATAATTACTATATTCATATTTTTATTCATATTTATATGTTATAATTATAATAATTTATGTTATGTTATTTATGTTATGTTATTTTAACTTTTAAATCTTTTATTAGAGTTAAATCTTTTTTTGAAGAGTTATTATTTACAACATTTGAATTAGATCTAACTTCTTGAATTTTTATTATGTTAGAGTTTTTAAGCTCTCATTAATAAGCTCTAAATAATATATATAATAATAATAAATTTAAGATTGGAAGACCTGTAACAAAAATATTCTGATTCATTCTTGATCAACGATAAATCCTAATAATAAGTCTATGAATTATCATGCAAATATTTGATCAATATTTAATTCTCAAATTTTATTATGACCAATATTTTAAGTAAATGAATATTTATGATTAAATCTAAATTTTTAAAAATGTTTTTGATCTTAATTCCTATTTCTTTATGTATAGCTATATTTCTTATATTCATGTAATTTTCTTTGTTCATTTTGAGAATTAATTTTGCTTTTAGACTTTTAGTATCAATAATAGCTATCGTATTTTTTATTTCTATAAATCATAATGTAAAGTCCAATCATTATAATTTTTTTTTATAAAAAATTATTTTCCTATTGATAAAAAATTATTAAGTTTGCCATTTTTTTCATTAAAACAGACTTATGATGCCTTTTTTTGATTCCTTTTATGATATTAAATTTTCATGAAAATTAAGCATATTATGCCTATGTCTAATATTACATATATAAATAAATATATTTTAAAAATGGCATTGAAGTAAAGTAAATGAAATTTCTTATAAATAAATTAGAAAGTACAAAATAAGATGGAATTAATATAATGATTATAACATTATATTATAATATATGTTTTAAATATAAAGAAAAAATTAAAAACTAAAATATAATTAATAAAATTAATATAAAAGAATATAAAAATAAAAAAAAAAAAACTTATTTTATATTATGAATCTTTAGTAATCTCGAATCCACCAAAAAATGATTTTTTGCTTCTATCAAAAAATATATTCTTTGGTATTAAAACTAGATCATCATTTCCTTAGATCATTTTAAAAAATTGAATTAAATAAAGAATTATTTTTTAAAAATTAGTTTATAGAATTTTATGTAGATTTTTTGTATGAAAATTATACGTAAGTAATAATCATAATATTATTACATTATATACTAATAATAAAATTATATTATTATTACATTATATAATAAAAACATTTATTACTTGCGTAAAATTAATAATTAATAATAATAACAGTTGTAAAATTAAAATACATAAGAAAAGTTAAAAATAAAACATATATAATATCAATATCAAAATAAAAATAGAATATTTATTATTTTAAAAATTAAAAAATATTAAAAATAATTTATTCATTTGTATAATTTGTAATTTAATATAATTAATTTAATATAATTCATGCATTTATAATATATCATAATATAATTTTCTTAATACGTAAAATTTTTTTGTGCATACCTTTATTATTTCTGGCATTGTTTGAATATGTTGAGTGTGTTTATGTATATTTCGAGCATCTAAAATCACAGCATCAGGCACTGTAATGCCTTCTTTGTTTAACCGATTCAATGCTAAGCGATCAGTTCTAAAAGCTTCTTCTGGAATTTTGCCTCCTAATGCTGGTAACACCTGTTCTCTAAATATTTGTCGTTTTTGCTATAAATATAAAAAAATCATTTAAATATTAATAATAAATTTTAATAATATAATGAAATATTAAAAGAGTTCAATCTTTAAAAAACATTTTGTTCTATATTTCAAAAATTAAAACAAAAAATTAGATATTAAACAAAAATGAAATATAAATATCATTCATAAGAATATTTTATGATAGTTTACATACGAAATATTATAAATAATAATAAATAATCGTTATAATAATCATTACAATTTTTTTCTAATCTGATAAAGAAATGTAATGAATAAAAATTAATCAATATTCAATTAATTGATAATAATTGATAATAATTGATAATAATTGATAATAACTATATCATATTTTATTATCAATTTAATAATCAATATAAATATAATAATAAAATGATAAAAAAATTATGTTAAAGATAATTAAAATTTAAATTTTTAATAATATTGAGATTCTGTGATTCAATCGTTTTTAATTAATATAAATTTTTATTGAACTAAATTTAAATTTTTTGATTTTTTTACAGTGAATATATTCATCGCAACAATATATCCAGAGAAATGAAGTTATTCGATCTTTTCTAACGAAACTTATAAAGTTCGTTAGAACATAACATAAACAAAACATTATAACATAAACAAAAAATGAGATTATTTTTGAATTGAGAATTTTTTAGAAATTTATTTATTTTAAAGTAATAAACATCCATACTTCGAGATCTATCTTTTATCTGCATTCAATAATTGTAAACATATTGCAAACCAGATTTTTCAATAAGATAATTTAGCAATTTGTGATGATCTTTTTGATCGAAGCATTTTTCCAAAAAAGACTTATCTTGAAACGCGAATCTTCAGACATTATTCCATGTTTTCCTACAAGAATATTTGACAAACATGAAAAGATTGAACATAACTATCAATATATTTTTTAATTAGTTTCCAAAGAAAAAAAGAAAATTACTAATTAGTAATATTTTAACGAGACAAATCGAATTCTCAAAAAAAAAAATCAACTAACAATTAAGCAACATAAAGTAATTTCACCCATTAGCAACATTTATTCTACAATAGGCAACAATTATTTTACTTAGATTTATTATTTTAAAAACTAAATATAGACTCTATATTATTAAATTGAAATAGAATCGTTAAGAGCGTAACAAACATAATTGAAATTCTTTTAACAAAAAAATATAATGTAAAAATATATGTATATAATATAATCAAAAATCATTAAAATTGATAAAAAAAGCTTTTTTCTAAATATTAGATTATTATTATTTTATCTAATATTTTTTTATTTTTTAAAATATGCGAAATATTTATTCTATATTTTCACTCATTTTTTATCTTTTAAATAAAATTAAAAAGCTTATAAAAAAAGCTTATAGATATCTAGAAACAATTTAAATTTAGATATCTAGAAACAATCTTTATTTGTCGTTAATTTTTTTTTATACAATTTTTATTAAATATTAGATAAAAAATTACGCGAATCATTAAGAAAATATAAAAAAAAATAATTTTGATTTTTTATTGAAAAAAGTTTAATTTAATAATTCTTATAATATGTGATATTCCATTTTATTATTATTATTATTGAATGTTAAATAATTTTTATTCATAATGTTTTTATTATATATTATGTACATTATATAATATACATTATTATAATGTTTCTAATGAAACGATAATTTTAATAAATATATAATTATTTTTTATCAATATTATCGATATAAACATATCTATTAATTATTTAGTAGATAATAGAATATATTTGTCTTGTAAATACTGTACCTTTTCGGCAACGACGCATATCATGAGATATGTAGTGGTAGATATTAAGAAAAACCAATTTTGTTTTCCAATTGTCTTCATTCTAATGAACATTTATTATTAATTATTATTTTACATTGATTTTATTAATTATTATTTTACATTGAATTAAAAACATCTTTTTTAGATTTTATTTCCTAAAATATTGAAACGAATATATAAATATAAATTTTTAGTTTTTGTAAAGTTAGTTTATAAAGTTTATAATTAATAATATTATTTATATATACTTAAATAAAAACTAATAATAAACATAAGAATTTATAATAATTATGAAGTTCGATAACAGATAATTCTATATATGAAAATAAATAAAAATTATACAAAATAAAATAAAATGTTATCGCTTATATCTTTATTTTTAAAAAAATCAAAATTGTATATTTATTATCAGTTAGTGAAAGTTTAATTTTTTCGAAAATTTAAATAAATTTTCAAATAAAAAAAAATTAATTTTTAAATTTGAAAATATTTATTTATTTTTATATATTTAGATATAAAAAAATTTTATATATTTTTTGCTTTTTTTTATATGTAGAATTATTTTCTATCAATAATTCATTTGTATTCTCATAATAGCTCATTTTTAGAATAATTTATGATTTTTTGCAAAAAGTAATATAATATATATGATACAACAAGTAAATATGATATAGGTAATGCACATTTAAGTATATCTAGATAACATTTAACAAAATTATTTCATTTGTATTCTCATAATAGCTTATTTTTAGAATAATTTATGATTTTTTGCAAAAAGTAATATAATATATATGATACAACAAGTAAATATGATATAGGTAATGCACATTTAAGTATATCTAGATAACATTTAACAAAATTATTTCATTTGTATTCTCATAATAGCTTATTTTTAGAATAATTTATGATTTTTTGCAAAAAGTAATATAATATATATGATACAACAAGTAAATATGATATAGATAATGCACATTTAGATAACATTTAACAAAATTAAAATAAAATAGCTAAGTTATTAAAATTTTAATATATTATGATAAATATATTAATTATTTTAAAAATAAATGAAATTGAAAATTTCTGAACTTCATTATTTTATTTAATGTTATCATTTAAATAATTATGTAAATTAATACGTAATTTTATTTTGAAAAGTTAATGATTAATATTCATTAGAAAGATTTCATTTTACAATATATATATTTAAGTAGAAAAATATTAATTTAAATTTTTTCATTTTTCATTTTAATTTATTAATTTTGTTATAATATATAATAATAATTTTACAATTAATTTATAAATTATTATATATAATATATAAATTATTCATACATTCACTATATTATAATATAATTCTCACAAATTTATATAAATTAATTATATAAAAATATAAAAACAAATATAAAGAGAAAATGCATAATAAACAAATTTTAATAAATATTTATAAACTTTAGGATACTACATATATAATATACTACACATATATAATAGATCACAAAAGTAACAATTTTTTAATTTTAATAAAATATTAATGAACGATTTTTAATTTTTAACGAAGCTTTATAAAATGTAATGATCATATATGTAATTTTTTTTACCAAAATATAATACTTTAAGAACGTGAAATCAATTTTCATTTCATTTTTTGCTTATTAAATAACTTTGATACAAGATTGAGCAAAATTATAAATTACAAAATGTTCAAAAGTGCTCTATCAAACTATTACGAAAAAAATTGTTGAGTAAACTTTTAATCAAAAAATGAAAAATTTCACTTCCTTACAGATTTCTCATCAATAAAAATTATTTTATTTCTTTGACAAAAAAATTTATTATAGAATCAACAATATGTTCTTTATTCATAATATATTTTATATATATAATATATCTATTAAATATTAAATAGAAAAATATTCTTAACATTGGATGATATATAATGATATATAATATAAAATAAATAATTTTTTATTTTTAATTAAATTTCTCGTTTCTTTTCTGTCATATCTATGATTTTATGATTAAAAATAATAATAATATTATTAAATTTTTGTTTTGTAGAAAACAAATAAATCATTTATAGAAATATAAGAATATAAAAATATAAGAATATAAATATAAAGAATATAAAGAAATATAAAGTATACTATATAAATATACAGAATTATAAAATATAAAGAATAATAAGAAATTAATTAATATATATTATAAAATTATAAAATTATAACATTATAAAATTAACATAATGAAATTAATGAAATTAAAAAACATTATAAAATTATTAATTATAATTATAAAAACAATTATTCTTCACAAGTCCTTTATCGATCTATGAAAAAATTTATATACGCTCTTTAAAATCATTTAATTTTTATTTGAAATATTATCTAATAATATTTAAACAAGCTTTATTATATTATTTTGTTGATTCTGTTATTATTTATTTTATTATTTACTATTTCTGTTATTATTTATTATATTATTATTAATTTTTTAATTATTTC